AGGTGTATAATTAATCTAGTTAGTTAAATTAGTTACTCTGCTGTATTTGGAACCGCAAGAAGATTATTTCGTGATTGACATCTAGTGCAACTTCAGTGTCCAATAAGCTGGCAGAAAGAACCTGAATGGTGATATCAATTTTGGTACGCCACACAAAATATAAACCCAATGTAAAATCTCTATCAGTGGTAATTAGATTTGCTGTTTTTGTTAAATTGCTTTCAAAGTACTGCCTGGTTGTAAATCGCAATTTACTGTGTTTGTTTTCTTATTTTTTGGTGGGCGGGCACGTACACTGTACGCTTTTTAACTTTTTTTAAGTTATGCCCGTTTCCAAGGTATCTCGGCATTTTGTTTTGTCTGTTTACATTTTGTATTGTTTATGTCAAAGAACCAAAATAAATTATTGATTGATAGAAAGTAATCAAGTCCATTTGTCGGATTGATATATTTCCGAATGGTGAATCTGTCTGTACGTGTTTAAAAGGTTTATTGTGTATTTTCGAATGAAAAGTAGCAGATAATTGTTTTCAATTTGGTCGGCACGCGGAAGAATTTTGTCGTTAAATTTAGCCGATTTTGGCAACCGAGCCGAAAAAGGTTGCCCACCCTGGTCTAGTGAGAATGACGTCATCGAAAACACCGCGTTCATTAAAATTTTAATGAAAGATTATCAAAAATCTTGACCATGTTTATCATGATATCAAAAAAGATGTAAAAAAAATATTCTATCCTCAAAACTGCATATTACCAAGTAGATATTGCTGAATTGATCTTTATTTTACCATTTTTCCTGTAATTCTTTCGGTAAACCCGTTATCTATCATAAATACAGGACATTTGACAATGTTGTAGTGTGACTTTTTTGGCCTCACATTTTTGATATTTGTAGTTAGAGCTCTTGGGGCTCTGTCAAACAAAGTTACATACAAAATATTGGTTGTAAATCGCAAATCAAGATCATGTTGTTGGAATAACATGACATTTTACCACCCGTATATCATTCATTGTTGAGAATAGTAATAAAATTTAAAAATCCGTTTTCGTTAAATTTTTGTTGTAGCTGAATTTCAGGGACAGCATAACAACAGGCAAGAGAAGCACGGTCGCCTCTTTTAGTTTATGACAGGGTTTCTTAAAAGGGGACCCCGTCCTCCTTAGAGGCCGCTGATCGGTTACCTGGGAGCACGAACAAACAGATGGAAATGCGAATATATTATAACAATGTATTTTTATAGAAGAGAAGAAGCAAAAGTGTTGAGAGTTTTTGATAGTTTGAAAAGCATTGGCATGGAACATAAGAATGAACTACATTCTTTTACCGAGATATACTATAAAATGTAGCAATTTTCTCATTCTTTTTCTCGTGATATCATTATCTTTCACTGCATCGTCGTGATCATCCCGTTGCAGACCAATTCTCGCTAACAAATAATTGACTTCTCCACCGGGTGTATATCCACTTGAACCACTGGCGACTGCATTAGCAGGCTTGTATTGTTAATTGCAACAAAAATGGGTATTTTGAAATAGTACTCTTTATTTACGCCTATGTTTCGACAGTATTTCCATATACTGTATATGGGTCGCGACCCAAAGCTGGGCTCAACAAATACTTAAAAGTTATTGAATTTATTTCCTAGTAAATTTGGTGCTTGCGTAGTTTGTGCATCAAGATTAGAGATGTACCGATGTATCGGTATCGGCCATTTTTTCGGTATTGGTTAGATTAAGACCGATATTTCCGATATATTTACCTTTTTGATATGGTCCAGAATGTTTTAAAAGATAAGTTGGAATACTACTTTTTAATTTATTTTTTTGTCTGGAGTGATCGTGAGCTATGAGCCATACATGTCCCCACCCCCGCGAGAAGATAGGATTCACGTGTTTTTACCTATTTATCAGTCAAACTAGCTCAACTAATTTGGGTATTTTCGCTGTCAAATTTTTATATTGACATTTTTAATATTACATAGTAATTATGAAGAAATATATCAACACAGCACATAACAAAAAGCAACTAGGCGCCCAGTTTTAAATCATACAGTGGAATTGGGGTCCTTATTAACGACACATGGACTTTTGGCACGGGTATAAATTTTGACTATTTGTTGTCAAGTACGAGTGTCATTTAGTCCGTCGACATCGATAAACTAAATTCCGACACAATTATCCTTCTACGCAGGTATTAATTTTAATTTTGTTCAACTACACAATTTCTTTATAGATATATTGACATGACCGCCTAGCTAGACTGTCTCAAAATATATGATAGCAATTGTTAAATATTATAAAATAGTAAAGTAAAAAAACATCCTCGATGGTTATAGGTAGGCCTTTGTTTTGTCAGGGCTGATTGATATTCTTTCATGTTGGCTTTGACTTATTGCGTCGACGATTACGATTAGCCACGAAATAAACTATATTTGTGAAATGCTTTTACTTCGAACGTAGGACGGCGGCGCTAGAATGTGTGGGTGATATTCGATATTCTTTCAAACACGAATAACGATATTCGAAGGTCGCGATATTAACATTAAATTCAAATTGGACATCCCGGCTTAGGAGTTTTCTAATTGAACACCGAGATTACTAGCGTTACTGTACAATGTATCTTAATTAGTTGAAGCAAACACCAAACATTAATTTCATATTATGTGATATATCTTTTTTCCGATCTGAAATAATGTGTACTATGAACAACGACCATTGTTTTAACCCGTCTGCCCTACACAGCACACCTAATTAAGTAATAATTACATAGTATCGGTATCGGTAATATCGGCTTTTTTGTAGTATCGGCGTTTTTAGCTGGTATCGGCGACAAAAGTGGTATCGGTACATCTTTAATCAAGATTGCGCACAACCCGAACATAGTATTGTAACAGGTTATGGTTCAGGTTGTGCCTCATTATGATGCACATGTTTGACGAAAAACACTAATACAAATATCTCAATAAATACCTAAAAGTTATTGATTTTATTTCCTAGTAAATTTGGCGCTTGCGTAGTTTGTGCACCAAGATTGCGCACAACCTGACCATGGTATTGTAACAGGTTATGGTTCAGGTTGTGCGTCATTATGATGCACAAGTTTGACGAAAAACACTAATACAAATATCGAGCCGTAAAAAAAATTGCTCAAGGCTGCAAACTCCACGCTTATGTAGAAATGATGGGCAATGACCCCAAGATGAATAATCACATAACACAAAAAAAAACTTCATGTCTGAAATCAAACTTAGGCCAAAAAGGTCCCCTTATCTGCCGGACTACATGGGAAAACTACATAATTTAATTGTTAAATTGCATGTCATTGCCGCCATGTCATTCATAAGCACAGTCTATGCATATTCACCATGGGTTTAAATTCGACGTTTCAACTTCAATAAAAAAAGCACTTGCAGTACAAAACGATGTAAATACGGACGCCGTCGAAATCTTCGAGTGATTATCTGGGACTAACACATTTTATTTGTGGCCCAATTATTGCTGCTCATTGATTCTATTAGGCAATTTTCGTCTCGCGGGGCGTTTAGTATAAATGGTAGTCTTTTTTTACCAATATGTTTATTGCATCTTAATTAGGGTTACGGATAAATATATACCCTCCTATCTCAACTTGAATGAGTCGTTTATATTAAGAGCTATTGGACAGTAAAATACACAAGTCAGCTATACAGCACATTTACTCATAATCAAATGCTGCGATGTTCGAAGCTTCCGATAAATAAGTTTGAAATAAATGTACCATGATATGTGTTTGGTAAAATGATGATAAATGCTTCGAATGCTATGCTTACGGTAATCATAAGCATAGCCATGTTAAAAGGTATTCAACGGCCGACTACATTCCGGAAATTGAATAGGAAATTACTCTGGTGATTGGGTCTCTATTAGTCGCGTTTTCATACGACAATTTCAGTAGCAAGCGACATGGTATAGGGTGCAGTCAGCGGGTGTAAAAGATATTGTTATTTCAGACAGTATTGCCAGGTCCGGAACATTACGTTTGAGATGAAATATGTTATTTAGAGTGTAAACAAAATGAACGCTGTTAAAAGCAAATCTTAATATAAAAAATGGCTAATTTATATTGTATGGTTTAACAAATTTTGCGGTACAACCATGATTTCATGACATTGCTACAGAGTAAAAGTCCATTTTCATGATTCTTGCTTAGAGGTGTTATCACGGTTTACGTGAAATAACTGATGGATATATATGGCCCGTCCCAATCCTAATTTGAATCACGTATTATTGCCAAATTCAACGGCACACCACAACAAACGAAAAAACAAAGTAAAAACAAAGTGTAACTTTGTTTTATGTTCATATTTCAATGAGAGATTTGTGGTTGTTTTAATTAGCACAATCAATCGCTCTATATTAGAATCAATACGTGAAAGAGCAACTCGAAATTCGCCGTCAACATCTTTTATGTAGGATCGTTTTCGATCAGTAAAGGGGAGGAAAAGCTTTGTTCGCACATATAAGTTGTGCTAAACTGGAGCAATATTTCAATAGCTGCATTGGAAATGTGCCTATATTCTTCTTTAATTGAAATCCAAAACACATCAAGTGGCATTTCGAGAATTTGAATTGATGTCGCTCAAGCTAACGTAAAAGCAGATTAAATTTACGTTAGTCGTAGCCTAACGTAAAATTACCAGAAGATAAAAAAAAATTGTAAAATGAAGAGAAAACTCGCAATTCCTGTGCGGCACACCGGTTGCGGAGCACTGATTTAAAAGACAGTATATCGCCGAAGCAGATATATTCATATTTATTCAGATTGCTTATATAGATTGAAAACTTTATCATGAAAGTTGCATTTAACGTAATGCGAAGTTCGTGCTGTTTAGTGCGTTTTTTGGGCAAGGAAGAATTTTATTATTTTTGAATATAAATTAAGATATTGAAATGTGGACACGAAGCACCGTATAAGGTGGTGTGTATGCACGCACAACTATATTGCTATTGCAGACTTTATTCACATTCAAAACAGAACACATTCCAGATAGATAAACTTAACAGTTAATACACGGTATGTACGGTACACCTGATAAGTACAGAACTTAATGAACGGGCACAGGTCGCTATATTACACAACGTTCAAATACTCTTATTCAAATATTTACTAGTGCTTCTACGTTAACTACGGAAACTCAATAAATATGGTAAATATGCTGATATAGGAATCGTTTCTTTACGTTTAGTTCTGAATGAAAAGATAAAACCACAAAACAGGTAAATTCACGGGGTAGAGCACGGTCACATTATGTATAACGTGCTTATATAACTATGCCATTTTATTGAAAATTTACATGTGTTTAATTTCATAACTATATATATTCATAAGAAATAAAGAACATTCATCTACTGAATAATTAATAGGAAATATTGAGGCGTACATGTGACGTTTAGGAGAAATATACAGCGGCACAGTGTGTGCTTTGGACAACTATTTGAAAATTACATCAAAACAAACACAAAGCCGTCCACGAACTTATGATATGAATGAATATTTTGTAAAAGTAAAACCCTATGCTTGTAAGCAATGCGATAAGTCCTTTATGATCAAAAAATGTTTGCAAATACATATTAAAATTCATACAGGAAAGCACATTCGGGGAACTTGTGGAAAGCAAAGCAAAACTGAATTACGGAGGCATGAAAGAATCCACACAGAAAAGAAACCTTGTGTTTGTAAGGAATGTCAGAAATTCTTCAACTGTAAATCACAGTTGCAATCTCATATCCAATTCCACTTCGGAGATAAACTGCATATTTATTGTGGTAAGTGTTTCACAACGAAAAGTACTTTGCAGGGACATGGACGAATCCACACTAAAAAACAAAATTTTATTTGTAAAGAATGCCAGAAGTCCTTCAGATGTCAGACAATTTTGCGAAGTCACATGCAAACCCATACCGGGGGAAAACCATTCATTTGTGATCATTGTGGAAAGTGTTTTTCGCGAAGATCTTGTCTGAAACAGCATACAAGAATCCACACTGGTGAAAAGCCTTTCACTTGTAGACATTGTGGAATGTGTTTTTCGAAAACTTCTAGTCTGAAAGACCATATTAGAACCCATACTGGAGAAAAGCCATTCCCTTGTGAACATTGTGGAAAGTGTTTTTCGAAAGGTTCTGGTCTGAAGATGCATATTAGAACCCATACTGGAGAAAGGCCATTCTGTTGTGGACATTGTGGAAGGTGTTTTACTCAACGTGATGGTCTGAAAAAGCATATTAGAACCCATACTGGAGAAAGGCCTTTCACTTGTATACATTGTGGAATGTGTTTTTCGCAAAGTTCTCATCTGAAAGAGCATATTAAAATCCATACTGGAGAAAAGCCTTTCACTTGTAAACATTGTGGAAAGTGTTTTGCGCGAATTTCTTATCTGAAAAGGCATGTTAGAACCCATACTACCTTTCCATTGTAAAAAGTGTTTTGTGCAGAGTTCTATCCCGAACGAGCATATTAGAACCCATACAGATAGACCCATGTTTGTACAGATTGTCAGAAATCCTTCAGTTGTAAATCAATTTTGCATTCCCATATGCTAACCCATACTGGAGAAAAACCATGAACTTGTAAACATTGTGAAAAGTGTTTTTCAAAACGTTGTCATCTGAAAGTGCATACTAGAGCCCATACTGGAGAAAAGTGTTTTGTTTGTACAAAATGTCAGAAATCCTACAGACAGTATTCAAATTTACACTCCCACATGCGAACCCATACGGGAGAAAAACTATCAACTTGTAAACATTGTGTGAAAAGCTTTTCGCAAAAAATTTAGTCTCAAAATGCATATTAGAACCCATACTGGAGAGAAGCCTTTCACTTGTGAACACTGTGGAATGTGTTTTTCAAAACGTTCTCATTTAAAAATACATTTTAATATTTAAAGCCATAATTTTGTAGGCAAAAGTTTTTTTTTTTTTTGTAAAATTATAGACTTGAACTTGTTGATATTATACTACAGAAAAGCCAATATGCTTGCAGCATATGTTTTGAGAATAATTTGACGCTGGCTGAAGCTTGAAAAAATCTATTTCAAATCGCATCAAACGTCTCGGCAACCGTATTATGTATATGTATTATTAAAGATTTTTAGATTCACGAGTAGAAAACTTACCGAGAGGTATGCGAAGTATGTGGAGCATCCGCAGTTCGAAATGATATCTTTGATGTCATGAAAAATTACTGGGAACAGACAAGCAATAGTGGTTCCGTGTGTTTGTTACATGCTATGAATATCGATTTTAAATTTATCAATTGCATGATTTTTTGTCGATTATGTTCACTACTCGGCCTTAAAGACAACCAATAATAAAGTACGCGACACATTAAGATTAAATGAAGGTGTTTGATATTCATAACTTAAGAGAGAGTTGAGGTTATTTTGAGATATTTAACTCAGCCCGGGAGAGTAATTACAGAAGCGGAAAAATTTAATTTCTTTGTGAAGTGGATTTGAACGCAGGGAAGAAAAACATATCGCATATTGGTGCTTCTTGGTTAGAATATAGGAGAATTGCAACTCCGTTAATAGTCACCGAAAACTGAAAATGAATAAAACCCTGTCGCCGTGCGTGTCGTCGATGTCGCGGCCTCCAGCTGTGCTTCGCGGTCAACGTTATTGGATGGGACGCCAGTACTTATCATATCGCTTATGCCAGTGGTTCCCAACCTTTCTACCCTGGCGGACCGGTAAAATTAAATTTTCTCGCGAACTGGCAAAAATTGAAATGACCGGAACAGAAACGAATAACATATATTTGCGTAATATGATGCAATTTTCGGCAATGCTTCTAGACAAAAAAGGGACACTTGAAAACATTTCATACGATTAAAACCTATGCATTGGAGGGCGCCCATAATGCGTAAGAAAGGCACACATAAATCATCTCGCATAAAAACATGTACAAACACAATAACTCTAGTGAGAAATTTGCTACTGTTTCGTTCCCAATATAAAATCGCAAACGAGGCCTCAAGGAATTTTCGGCAACATGTAGCTCTGCAGCGGCATGAGGTTACTTTGCTTCGTTTTAATTAAAGCTAATGATGAAAATGTTTTTTCGCATAACGCAGTAACTGGTTAAAAATACGGACAACAGTTTAATTGCTCGGTTACATAGCGATGGGTATTCTTTGCAACTGGTTAAAAATACGGACACAGCGATGGGTATTCTTATCAAGAGATATCCAAAATTGGGGTCTCGTGTAGTTTCGTACCTAACGTACTTCTAGTAGGCGTAGCATAACAATCCTTTGACATGCCAATCCTAACCCTCACCTGACTACGCCATCTAAAAATTGCGTCACTACGACGTCAGAACACGTCATAGAACTTGCCAAATACTCGCACGATCGAAATGGCATCGGCGCCGACGACAAAGAACTCACTAACGTCAGCGAAAGTGACTATAAACCAAGTGAGGACATGCATTGGTAACGTTATAGCACTCGTGTGACGTCACACCAGCCATTTTGTGTCCAGAGTTCTATTGCTGTATGATCCTAACTAAGTGATTCAAACCTGCGATCGGTAAATAGCTGAATAAAAAAAACGATGCTCAATAATTCGGACCAAACTTTCGCAGCGGCAAAACAAATGAACATTCTTCTAAAAAATTATTTATCCGCAGATGTTTCTCGGATAACTCGGCTCGGTGGTATGGTCAGCATACGAAGTTAAGGTTAAAGTCATCCAACTTCACTCGATAAATCAACACCCAATAAGACCAAAATATTAAACAAAAAGATGCACATTTTATTATAAATTCCCTGATGTAAGTATCGCTACTTGCACAGAACTGACATAACTACAATACAAAGTATACTACAGAAACTTGCACTATTATTGCGGTACATGTCATGATATTAAAATATGCGTATCGCAAATTTTCAACAAGGTGTACATTGCCAAAATAATATTAAAAAAATATACTACATGCATGGAATGAAGGATAACTGCCTATATCAAGTTTACTAGAACATCTAATAATCTGGAGTGTATAAAATAATATATTATCTATTTGACTTGAGCTCTTGCCGCAGGTCTACTAGCATACCGTTTTTCAATAATTTTATTTGTCTCCTCTTTTGCGTGGATATTCAACCCTAAATTGAGAAAACTTTTCAAAATTTTAAAAGCGATATTGTGGCAAGATTGGAAATTATATTTCAAGCAACTTTATCTGTCAGAAAAGTAACAGGCGAGCATATATTATGGAAGGCATTCATATTGGCGCGAAATATAGTTTATACTTGTTTAATAACGTAAATTTAATTTCGGGCCGTTTGAACAGAAGTCATGTGCTATATATGGATTCATACTACACAAGTCCCGTTCTGGCACGCGAAATGGCATTGCGTTATACGGGACTTGTCGGAACCGTGAATATCAACAGAAAGGGCATGTCCGATTCGTTGAAAAACATGAAGAAAGGCCAACGCAACGTGGTATGATACGAAGAGAGTGGCCATGTCATCCACAATTCACACAAACTCCTACGTTACAAAAGAAGTTCGTTCAAAAGCTGCACGAATCGTTACTAGAAGCGTGAAAAAAAACGCACGAATCGTTACTAGAAGCGTGAAAAAGCCCTTGTGTATTGAAAATAAAACAAGAGAGCAATGCTCAAATATATGGACGCGCAGACCAATTCCCCGAAACTCATATATCTGTATATATGCGGTAACTTAGTGCCTGTATCGGGGTACCGTGGCGGTATATGAACTGTCATAGATTTTTTAGGTCTTGTGACAATGATCCATTCTTCTTGATTATGTTTAAACATCAATTGAAATATCACAGGGAACGATTCTTCCTTGTCATATAAGAACTCAATTCCTTTTCTCATATCAATTAAAAAAAATAAAGTAAGCTACAAAATTTATGATGTTTACATCAAAACTGTAACGAAAATATAGGAGCGTAATTCACTGCGGTACCTTACCAGTACCTCCTGTTGATGTAGGCCTGCTATTCGATCGTGGAACGGTTCTTCTTTGACATATAGAAACTCAAAATCATTTTGCACTTATCAAAATTAACAAATACGGTAGACTAGATTTGCTAGAAAACCTACATTACTGAAATAGTAAGATCGCGAAAGGAACAAGAGAGCTACGCCCAAATATATGGACACGTCTGTTCGCAGTACAGTACGGTTTACAGTACCGTCAAATATATTCACACCAAGCGAAGCAGTACAGTAGGACACAAAATGGCGTCCGATGTCCGCAGAACGTTTAATGACGTCATAGCAAACAAAAACAAATCTCACAGCGCTAACAGAGATATATAAAATGAATAAAAGTAATAGCCTTCTGGGGAAAAATTTCATCTTTAACCACTAAAAATTTCAAAGCAATTGGCCCAGTGATCAATCAAAAAGAAAAGCGGTTTTTTAATATTTCCACTGGGTGTCCAAAAAATCCGAAAGAACAACATAACAACAAAACGATCGTTATGTCCACTAAACGTGTCCAATAAGTCAATTTCACTGCGGTGCGGTAACTTAGCAGTACGTACCTGCAGCCTTGATCACGCAACCGCTTGAAATAAGTCTCAAAACAGTGTCCCCATGAGTAAATTTTAGAACAGCGAAATTTTGGATAAAATATCAGATCTTATAGGATTCATAAATTTAGGAATAAATAAAAGTAATAGTCTTCTGGAAACAAAATCAAACTTTAACCACTGAAAATTTCAAAGCAATTGGTCCAACGTGCCCAATTACACAGCACGAAACATGCAGTAAAACATCTTTCCAATAAAATGGTATAGTTATCCAAACACGTTATACATATCGATTAATTGCTTTCGCACAGATACACAAGTAATCTTCAATAATTATATTGCTAAAAACAATTTGAGTTCCCAAAACTTTAATAGTGTTTTCAGCGAATTTGTAATATTGCTTGTTCACCTGGTTGATCGCCATTTGAAAGGGAACAGTTCCGAAAACTATTTCAAAACGTATAGAAATGTTTTGACAAGAGCCATAGATGAATCAAAACAAATTTATTATCAAAACCTTATTGCTAAAAACAAAGTTAATACTAGGTCAACATGGCAAATAGTTAACGAAATCACGCATGCAAAAAATAAATCCAAGCAAAAAGTTGACGAGATCGATATTGAAAATGCCTGTATAATTAGAGATAAACTTCTGATCGCAACAAAATTTAATACGTATTTTTCTGCAATTGGGTCTAGCCTTTCAGGCAAGTTTTCTATTGAACAGGTTAGGTTTAAACAATTCTTCACAAATGTATAAACCAGTACATCTTTATGAATCTAGCGACTACAAATGAATTGATAATATAAATACAGGGTGTCCAAAAAGTTTCGCTTGATCACGAAGTTTTAAAACCGAATGATAATTTTTTTTAAATTATAAAACGATTTATAGTCAACCTGTATTGGATAGGATGGTATAGATGTGGGATGTTGCAGTTCTCATTTATCAT